AACATAAAGAGAATGACAGATTAACAAAAGAAAGAACTCAGAAATCATTACAAAGCCAGAACAATCCTCTTGTGTGTTATTTCATACACCGAGTATGAGAAAATCAGTAACAAAGAAGCAACTAAAAACATGTTTAACTCTTTGAGAATGATGCATGAAGGAAACATGCAAGTCAAAGAAACCAAAGATCTTGCACTCATTAAGAAGTATGAGGTCTTTCAAATGTAAGAAGATGAAACAGTTGAAACAATGTTCTCAAGGTTTCAAATTTTGGTTGTTGTACTAATAGTTCTTACCAAAGGGTACTTGATAGAAGATCATGTAAATAAAATCATCAGAAGTTTACCTATGAAATAGAGACCCATGGTCACAGCCTTAAAACTAGCCAAAGATCCAAATAAAATATCTCTTGAAGAACTTATCAGCTCTTTTAGAAGTCATGAGATAGAACTTGAAGAAGATGAGCCCCCGAAGCAAGATAAGTATCTCGCTCTTAGATCTAATAAAAAATATGAACCTAAAGTTTTTCAGGCAAAAGAAGAAAACTCTGGTGGATCCTCGTCAGAAGAATAAGAACTATCTCTTGTCTCCAGAAGAGTCAAACAACTATGGAAACACAAACAACAGAAGTTTAGAAACCCCAAAAGAACAGGAAATCACTCTGAAACATCTTCTGGATATAGAAATCTAGAAACAAAGACATTGTATACTACGAATACAACAAACTAGGTCACTACAAAAGCGACAATCCAAATCTACAGAAAGAAAATCCTAAAAATAAATTCTCCAAAGAAAATAAGAAAAGTCTTATGGCAACATGGGATGACTCAGAATTTTCTGAAGCTGAAACAAAATCAGAAGATGAACGAGCCAATACAACCTTAATGGCCAACATTAATAGTGACATTAGATCATTTGAATCAGAGCCATACTCTAGATCTCAATTAGAAGAAAGTATGTCATAAATTCTTGAAAGATATCAACAACTACGAGTCAAAAACAAGAACTTGAAAAAGGATCTAGTATCTGACTCTGAAGAAACTAAGAAACTAAGAACAAAAAAATCTGAGCTAAAAGAAACCATTTCCAAACTTAAAAATGAAAAATACTTTATTAAAATTGAATTGCAAAAAGCTCAGAAAAAAACTGTTTCAAACTTTCAAATAGTTCTGATAAAATCATAAAATAATATCATCACGGCTTTAAAAAATTTCTAGCTAAAAACATAGATATGAGTAAGATGGCTTCAATGATC